GTGTGTGTGTGTGTATGTATATATATATACACATACACACACACATGTCAGCAGTCAATATACCACATAACACCCTTGAGCGCTTAGCCTTGGAGTGGGTAGAATGGAGATCAACGTGTTTTAGTGGACTCAGCAATTTTCAATCTGCGTGTCTGAATCATCTTCAAGAAGCGAGAGCAACATCTAAAAGCTCAGCCAATCTAACAGTGATCTCAGCTCACAATCCTCACACTTGCTCCATATGTGGCCTCCTTTGTAAATCACTAGTAGGTCTTAATGCCACTTAAGATTATCACACAAAATTTCATAACTGAATCAATAAGCTGTCAGATCCTCATATGTCGAAACCAACGGGAGAGTCCATTATTATATTATTATAATATATATATATATATATATATATATATATATATATATATATATATATATATATATATATATATATATATATATATATTTTTTTAATCATCTTACCCCAAGCAAGTATTGAAAGAGAAAGGGAAGACTTTAGGAGAAGCAACCGGAAACCTAATTCTAAACAGTAAACAAGGAATGAACCTCTACTCCTGTTCAAAAGACAGGGAAGGAGTGTGAATCAGGTGATAGGCAATCCTATCTACTCCCATTAAATTTTCATTGAATGGTACAATCATAGCATATACAGTTTGGAAACTATCCAATAACATTGTGTGTATGTGTGTACACACAATTTTCAAAAAAGTTTAAGCTTAAAATAGCTTTAAAAATATCATTGGAACTATGCAATATGAATATCTAAATCTGGTTAAAATTATTTGTGAATATCATCAACACTTCACCTTGTCTCTCTATTTCTCCATCAGCAGGTGTGTCAGAGTGCAGATATAAATAATATGTATATTTTCAGATAAATAAAAACACACCCATAAGCACATATATACATCAGAACCTAACTCTTCCTTATGGAAAAAAAAAGATTGTTTCTATTTCTGTCTATCTATCTATAAGTCTAAATAAACATCTTAAATAAATACAAAATGTATATGAATCATTGATTGGTTTATTTGTTTGTTTTTTATGTCTTTCCAGCCTTGATAGAGTCTTTCTGCCATGTTTCATCTTTACAAGATGAGACAGATCAGACCAAAAATGGAGTATTGCTGCCATATCTGGACTGGAGCTGCACAATCTTTATATTCCAGTTTTGACAGAGTTCAAAAGTATTTATAGAGCCTTGTGGGTTATTAATTATTTTCAACCCTATAATCCCTGCCCCACAGACATAACATCACAATTTTCTCATTACTTTATCACTATTTCCATAGTAAATGTTAAGATGAGTTACATTTCTTAGTTCTACCAATTCAGACCTTTGAAGCAAAGAAATGCTCTAGCATATAAACATGAATGACTCATTCTCATTCATTTCATATTCCATTGATAAGGAGGAAGTTCTTCCCGAGAATGGCTACTTTGTGGAATAAACTCCTGAAAGGATGATTCTCTGATCATTACAATCATAACCTCTTCATGTCTAGGGTCAACTGTTATCTAAACTACAAATCCTTGCAACATACATTTTTGTTTTCTGTTGGTTAAATTAGTGCTTCACATGAATGGCTTGAACAAATAAGACTGCAGTGTAAGAATAGTAAGAATAAAGGAAATGATTAATTAAATGGTTCATTTTGCTCTGGAACTAATTTTATCTAAATGCAGATGAATATTTTATTTGTATAGATTATTAAAATGACACCAAGGGAAGTAAACTAACTCAAGCTGATTTACTACAGATGGGACAGGAAATATATAAATAAATACATATCCTATTATAATTGTGCTTGTCCCTATCTTTGTTATTTTGCATGACCAATACCTCATAAATAATGGACTGCCAATACCTCATAAATAATGGACTATTCTGTTTTGATTGCATGAATAGACAAGAAAAGACACTACTTGGTTTTCAGAGAGAAAATGAAACTAAGAAACAAGGAAACCAGAGAAGTGGAGAGAGAGAATCTGATTAAGTTGATAAGAACAGATAATACCTTTTAATCTTAGCCAAAAGACTGAGAAGATATGACAACCATGATAAAAGTGCCATTTTCAAACACACAATACCGAATGATGGAAAATGAGAAAGGTAATTACCAAAATTCCAGTTACCATAAATAACATCGTCTGTTGAATTATTTTTAAATTATTATTAAGGGAGATACTCATAAGATGGGGATTTGGCTAATTGATAATTATTTTATACTTTGATTGTTTGTCTTGTATTATTCAACCCCATTTTTTTTTTTTTCTTCCTCTTATTATTATTGTTAATTGAGAATTTTGTTAATTATGCTTAACCATGCCTGCTTCCTCACTTCCTCTTCTTACACCCTTATAACAACCTCCTTAAAAAAAACAACTCTACTTTGAGTGGCTTTTGGGCCTTACATATTTTGAACTTTCTATTAAAATAATAAATCTCATAAAATGTCTACAAATAATGAGCATAAGGAAAAAGATTCACCTCCAAATTATTTTCTAACTAAATATCTATTTTTGTTCCCAAAACCATCTACTGAAATAATTGCTGATGACCTTGGAAATAAGACAACCCCAACCAAATCTTCAATCATTAAAGACATAATTAATAAGCCAAAAAAATAAATAAAATAAGAATAATAAATATGATTCAAATGTTGGTAATCCCATTTAGTTAATGTGATCAAATTTATATTTAGAGTTTAAAAAATATATTTACAAAAAACAAGAGATATAGTGAGTCCCTATAAAAATAAAATATATAAACAAAAATAAAAAAGAATTAAAATCAAAATAAGGCATTTGTGCTTTCCTTCAAAAACCTTATCTCATTCTTTCTCTCTCTCTCTGAACTTCTCTTTCTATACTTCTCTCAACTAACAAGAAGGCAACCTTCAAATAAAAAGAAGAAGAAGAAGAAGAAGAAAAGACTTAACCCGGCTGAAAAAGTTTGCAAGATCAGAGTCTACATATTTGTAACTGAAAAATACCAAAAATCAGGGAGGCTCTACATTTTAAAAAAAATTGAGACAAAAAGATTTTGATGTTAGCCGAAACCAATGTTTGTGCCAGAGTCTCAAAGCCTGGTTAAAAGGATATAAGCTAATACCTCTAAGCTAGAAGCAGAGGATGATGGCAGGAGAGGAAAGAACAAAAGAACATTAACATGGAGAAACCAGCCATGCGTAACAAAGTTAAGAGGTAATCTGCTAATGAAAAACACAGTAGATTGATATTGACCTATTTCTAAGATTACTACTACCCCTATCATGGTTTTACTTCAAAACACCACTACCATACATTTCTCCAGATTGCTACCAATATCTGTGTTAAAAACGAACATTTTACTACAGTGCATACCTCAGGACTCACTCATCACTCTGAAGAAAATAAATAAAAATATATTATTTATTTTAAAGTCTTGAGCCAGTTCATTTTATTACAAAGTTTCCGATAAAATAATTATCTTACCTACCACCTACCAACACCATAGATAGAGAGATATAAAAATTTGGGCTACATTCATTTTTTAATCTCTCATATACAAAAATATAAATCAGTTTTAATTTTAAAAATGCTAAAATGGTGAAATTTATTCACCATAAATCTTCTTGAAGAATTATTGAATGAGATATGATAGCAAAATTAAATTCAATTTATCAAAAAATAGGTTTTCAGAACATATCATCTTTTCAAGTTAAAATTAATACTTAAAGAAAATAATAAAGATTTAATCTTTAAATTTTAATGGTTAAAAACATCTTAATAATATTTAAATTTATACTTTCCTTAAAAAACACTATAAAATTATATTTTCAATTTGTTCTTTTATTCTCTCTCATTAATAATGTTTGTTTTTTTTCTCATATACTATTACCATTCAGTAATTCCTTTGCGTCTTAGTGGCTTTACTGCCTTGCTTGAGTGAAATAAAAAAAATAAAAATTTTCAGTAAAAAATTCCTTTTGATGTGCATGCTTCACTTTCTTAACAAAAGTTTCGTTTATTTTATTTTTATATAAAAATCAAAATATTTCAATTTCTTTTTTTTAACAGTTTTTCTATGTGCAAAAATCTAATTGATGTGTTCACTGATGATAAATTTTAAAATTTGGTCTTAAATGTTAGAATATTTCAAATTAACCACAACGTGTTGTAACAAAGTTGCCATGGTAACGATTTTTTTTACTTTCGATTTTGATTTGTTTTTTAAAAATGCTCAAGTAACGAAATGTTATAAAACACGAAATTAAAAATCTTTTTAACATCCACCTAGTTTCCCATTTTTAGGTACTTTGTCAGATATCTTATGAATCTATAAAGAAATTAATTTTAAATTAATAAACAGATATATGATGGTATTTTATGTGAAATGCATGAATGAATACAGTAATGAATTATTCATTGATTTTGAATACTATTATTATTCAATGAATGAATGAATAGTATTCAAATTCAATGAATAAATTAAATACATATCAATCTAAAGGAATTAATCTAAAATACATATATCATACATATATTTTAATATGATATATTTAGTTCAAATGAAAGAATTTAAATCACATATAGACAGACATTTCAAGATAATGCATTCAAAATTTAATGGAAAACCTTAACTATTTTTGTGCAAATCTATTTGTCTAGACATGAACACGAGTTATCTCCCCTATCTTCTTTTCTCTCATTCAAACTAAGCAACCATCTCTTCAACATTGTTTCATTCATTCCGATTTTTCTGGATACCCCGTTTTTATTTAAAAAGTCTTCTTATCTGTTTTTTTTTTTTTCTCCACCCCGTCCCTAACAACCTTGAAATCCTGTATCCCCATTCAATCACTGTCAATCATTTTCTCATTTAGCAACCTTCAAATAGGTAATTATCCCAAAACATGATGTGCGCGACAGAGAATAATGTAATTGATATTAATGAATGCCTATTTTCTTTGACTCGTATTTTCCACTTTGATGAACTTGCTCACAACATAATTGACAGCAGCAGCAGCAGCAGTCATTTTTGATGCCAGATACAGCTGCTGATGCTGCTGGTGTATGAACCCCCAACAACGCCCCCGCCCCCTTAGAGAGGGCATATCGGAAGCGCGAACATTGGCCTGCTACTCGATCACGTTCTCTCTTTGTTGATACTCATACAAATATTCTTGCCTGGACATCAAAATAAAGCTACGGCTACAATTTTCTATTTATACTGAGTGTAATGAATGACTGACAGGTTGTTTACACCACATCAAATAAACAGCGAAGACAAAGTTCATCAGTTAAGAAGAAGGAAATGGACAATGCAAAAGATAGATATATTTTTGTTTTTATAAAATTATTTGCCGAAGTTTTACAAACAGAAAAGGCTCTACACACCTCTATCATTCGTGTGTGTGTGTGGTTTAAAATGTGTTAGGAAGAAAGCACAATATCTGAAATAGTATTTATAGAAAGACAGTGTGCATAGAAATCAACAGTACATGGTCTGAGGATCGCTTGAGGAGTGAAACAGACAGTCACCATGCACTGTTTATGTCTTCTCTTTCTCTCTCTTTATATTATATACACATAGAGAGAGAGACTGCGTGGACGTAGGAATCAACACAATCTGGTGATTGTCAGTTTCATACCTCAAGTAATCTTCAGAACATACAACATCTTTGTGTGTGTGATTTAGTTTGAAACGCTAAAAAGCAATATTAAAAACTGAATTTTTTGCCAAGTCAATAAAAATGTGAGAATAAAACAGATGGTTTTTCAAAATTCCCATTTTACATTAAGCAAATATCTGGTTCTTGTAAAAATGAAATACTATTAATATATGAAAATGAAATAATATTAATATATATTTTATTATAATAAAATATATCAAAACAAAGTCACAAGCAGAAAATGTTTGTGTGTCGATCTATATATATATATATATATATATATATATATATATATATATATATGTAAAAACGACAAATACAGATCAATACATCCCAATATAAACATGTTTAAAACAAACTGGGACAAGACATTAAAATTTTTACATACCATGATAAATCCATTCCTAAGGAAACGTTGGTAATAAATGTTCCTGGAGATTTGGTCTGTGAGTGTCGGAGAATAAATGTTGGAGGAGCTTGACAAAAATAGTAGACCTAATACAATAGCACCAATTCAAAAGGTACCGCCAACGTCGAATGCAAGTACGCTAAATTATCAAGTGAATCGCAGCAGATAAGTAGATTCTGATAACCACTAGAATTTATGCAAGAAAAGAGAAGAAAGAATTGAAAAGGAAGAGAAACAAACACAAAAGAAAGATGTCATCATGATAAACCAGAATTAATTGGAACTGTAGTGGGTTTTCTTCATGTTTTTATTTTATTTTGAAATTTGCCATGTTGCTCAATGACTTCTAGCAGAGAAACCGAAAAAGAAATAGTGTTGTTACTACTATCTTTGATAAAATGGGGAAATGCTCTGAATGGGAAAACTGGAATCCCATAATAGAGTGGGAGAGGTGAGGGGGTGAACAGGATGAAGAGAATCAATAACAGAAACATAAAACAGAAGTTAAATGAAAATAATTTAAAATCAACCCCCTGCCCCACCTCAATAAAAAAAATAAAACAAAAATAAGATAATAAGCAAGATAAAGTGAATTGTATTTGTTTATAATTCCCATAAAAAGAAAATTTAAAAAGGTTTACAAAATAATTTCTAGAATCATAATGAGGAAAGAGGGCTTAGAGAATCTGACACTCACAAGACATATTGAAATCAAAAGGAACAGAGAGAAACAGTGAGTAACTGACCTAATAAACTTGTGTAAATGGATGGTGGGAGGGGGAGGGATAGTGAAAAAACAAACCTTGCAAAGTTCTACAAAGAATAGGAAGCAGTGGAGAGCCATGAACGGCTATTTTCTGAAAGGACAAGCATATAGAAAAAGATGCTACTTAATAAGCAATTTTAAGTACAAAAGGGAGGGTGATGAAATGTCCTTGGACTGATCTACTTTCTTAAATTAGAATTTTTTACAAAGAGTTTGACAAAAAAATGTGCGAAATGATGCGCCAAGTATGTAAAATTTTGAAGATGTAAAAGAACATTTATCTACATTAATGTTTCCCAACCTTCTTTCAACAAGTGCCACCTTTGGGCACAAACTTTTTTGTTAACGCACCCCCCCCGTCAAATTAAATTTTGAATATTATACTGAATTCATCTTTTATAGCAAGATAACACTTTTTGTTTTATTAATTATTATAACCCTATGCAAGGTAGTAAATCTATTAAGATGTAAGGGGTTACTAGGTGTGGAAGAATTAGGAACAGAAACTTTAATAATGAGTGGGAAGAGAAAAGAGTAATCAGGAAGACAGTAAATAGTGATTGACATTGCATTTAAATTTTTGAAGATTAAAGTTAGCTGGAAAGTATGGAGCCAGAAGGGAGTTCCACAAGTAAGAAGTGCAAGAAAAGAAACTGTTAGCATAGAACTTACAGCTACATCTAGCTAGTTCAACTGTAAATTGATGAGATCTCGATGCCAGTCTAGTACTGTACTTAAATTCAAAAAGTCTAGGTACAAAAGTGAAGAGCTTATCCAAACAATTACCATGAAAGCATTTATAGAAAAGACACAGAGAGGCAATCTTGTGGCAGTGGGAAAGTGACTGAAGCTGAACTGCCAGATCAGGACCAATAATATTGCTGATTCTTCTGTAGATTTTATCAAGGAGCCTAAGGTAAATAGGAGAAGCATTGGACTATATGTTGCAGCAATATTCCAAGCATGGAAGGGTGAATATTTAGGTATTAGTGCAAAAATAATTTTAATATTGTTTTCATTTCTATTATAAATGCCAATGATTAAAAGTTAAAAAAGCTTCTATTTGATAGTTTATCACAATGTTTTCAATGCGATGGTTGACTTTCGTGCTTACTGGGTTTGGTTTTCTTTGTTTTATGGCATATCAACCACAATGGTTTTTTTTAATACCAACAAAATTTTTATTGCTGGTAATATGTTTTTCTTCAAAAATCTATTTCTGGGAATATTTTTCCTTGAAGAAATCTATTAGCTGGTCATATTTTCTTCAAAGAATGTATAACTGTTTGTATTGCTGGTATTTTTTTTTAAAAGTATTTCTGATAATTTTTCCTTAAAAAATTATTGCTGGTAATAATTTTTTTTTTATTACAAAGTATTTCTGGTATTAAAACCTATTTTTACACAAGTTTGGGTGTTAACTATTTGCCCATAGCTGGGACCCTAACGGGTGCTACCACCCCGGGTCAGGGTGGACTTGGGAACACCAACAATTAAGAGGTGGTTCCATGCTCCTCAAAACCTCCTGATCAGAGGCCTTGCTGTTGGATGTAGTTTATCATCTTACCCAGGACGTAAACATAGTTTATCATTATAACCAGGATGACTTACTGGCTAAGGTTCGTACTCAAGGTTCCATCTGCTTAGAAGTAAACATACAGGATTTCTTTTTTTAGTAAAAAAGCTGTGTAACTGCATTGAAACCACATTCAGCCATATAGAAAGTTTGAAAAGCAATGGAGAAAAGTTTAATAGCTTCCCATAGTTTTAGATACCTTTCAGTCAGAAATTTCCTTTTGTAGCCAATATTGAATCATTTTTAAAAATTTGAAAAAAAAAATAGATAATGCCTACTACCCCTCGAATATGCTCACTGCTCTCCAAATGAAATAAAGTCTTTCAGTTCCCTCTTTTCAATGTGATGGTTGACTTTGGTGCTTTCTGGCTAAGGCTCTTACTCTAGGTTCATTTGATAGCTTATCTCAATGTTTTCAATGTAATGGTTGACTTTGGTGCTCACTGGTTAAAGCTCTTATTCTACATTCCATGCTGCTTAGAAGTAATCATAGATCTCCCCATTTTTGATAATATGAAAAAAGAAAACTGATAAATGTTACACCCCAAGAATCTTCACTAAAACAACAAATGAAATAAAAACTTCCAGAGCCCCCTTTCAATATAACAAAACCCACAAGGGGGTACAAGCGCTCACATTGGGAAACACTGATCTACATTATTCTTTCCTTGGTTGACTTGAAAACCTTTAAATACTAACCTCATATGTGACAATGCATAACAATAAAAGCAATAGAAAGCTGAAATTCAATTAATTATTTACATTGTTTATGGACTGTTGTCCTCATCTTTGTTGCCATATGCACAATATTTTGGCCTTCACAATGGAGAGAGAAAACAACAACAAACTCGCATTCCTGGATGTACTAATATCTTGAACAGAGCATGAGTTCAAGATATTAGTATACCGCAAGCCAGCATTCACCGGACGATACCTCAACTTCAGCTCCCACTACCCATACAGTATAAAGAAAGGGATCATCTGCTGCCGACAACACCAAGCAAAAGTTATAAGTGGCAACCCAGAGACATATGAACAAGAAATGGTTAGTATATGCAGTACCCTACAACGTAACAACTACCCTAGGTACATGACAGCAGTATCCATATAACAAGTGGTCAGTGAAAGGACTGTCAGTAAGTCTGCAGTCAGTGAGATGATTAGGTAATGAGTGTAATGGATGAGCCTCTAATCCTGTTCAAGATAAGGCGGAGGAGTATGGACTTGGTGATAGAAGAGCCTATCTACTCCTATTAAAAAAAATCCCAGGTTTGACTTCCAGATCAAGCTGCAGCCCACAGGTGTGCCAGCACAAACATGTATACATACCTGTGCATTGTTGAGAAAGACTGAAAAGACATATCAGAGACTCTGTTTGGTTCCAGTAAGAAAGAGAAAGAGAAGATAGGAAAGGTGATTATGTTCTCATGCATTTAATGTCTGCTTCAGTAAAATGGAAAAACTTTTCAATTTCAACTCTTTTCATTTGTACCCCCTTACTTCTTTAATTAATACCCTGCATTCACACATATAACTGTTATTGTAATATTTTGTTAAAGTTCTGAAGCTCAAATATTTAACAATGCAATAAGGGAAATTCTACAGATATTTAATTGTCATAGAATTCACAAGGAGCTTATTCAATCATTAACTTAGCAATTAGGATTCATCAGAAAATTCAAATAGGAAAA